AAGAATTTGTGGCCCACCCTTAAATTGGTGCTGAAAAATTACAACCCACCCTTTCAGAAATGTGAAAGATACCAGCTTTCTATTTTTCTTTTGCCAAATAATTCTGTGTTACAGTACTCAATAGCTATTAAAATAGTGCAATTAAAATTCAGGGCCTCTTTTAAGGATGTGTAACTGGAGAGGACATATTTAGCGGGGGACCTGGAGAAGTTCCAGTCGGCAAGTCTGTATCACTGCAGCTACCAGCATATATATATATATACAGGGTTTAACTAATAAGTATACGTCATAGGGCAGCGAATCAGGCCATAACTAGGATTCTGAGACAACCAAGTCGACCACCCAAAGTGCAAGCTTCAAGAGGGGTGTGGGGGCATACCTTCTAGAAAATTTTGAATTTCTTGAAGCTCAGATAAGCTATTTCCTGCATTTTGAGGAGTTTTCCAACAAGAAATTAACCTTAGGGACCGGTCATTATTTATGGAAGGGAGAGGGTGAATTTTTCCCCCCTAAATTTTTAAAATTGAAAGCCCCCCCCTTAAAAGAGCAGAAATTTAATGATGACCCCCTCTACATATTAGAATATTTTTCTTTGACCCCCATTTTCATTTTTACTCATCAAATGGGGATACCCAAGGCTTTATAGTGTTAATTATTAATTAAATATGAATATGGAACTGACAAGAAGTATTGCCATAGCAGCTGCACAGTAACAAGAGCAACATTCAGTGAATATTAGCAGCAAAAGGAGATAGCCATGACAATTCTGCCAAGGCATACCTCCAGCACCAGTCACACTGACAAGTCAGTGGAAACAAAGTACAATGTATAGTGGTCTATACATCCTATTTTATGCAAGATTAAAAATTATATTTATAAAAATTATATAATAGAATAAAATGACATACTACCAGATAAAATCCTCTAGAATAAACATGGGTGGGTGGGTAGGGAAAATGTATCTAAGCACTAAACTTTGCAGCTAGGCAAAACATACAATGCCGCAGTTACAACCAAATGGATACCATGCTTATTAAGCAAATTCCTTCAAATTGAATTGCAACCCCCCCTCATTTTCTTGAAAAAATTTAATATCCCCCCTCCTAGTCATTTATTTATACATATGGCCCCCCTTATTTTTTCCCTCCCCCCTTCCATAAATAATGACCGGTCCCTTATAAACAGTGACACAATTACTGCAATTTCAGTCTCCCAAATGTAAACATGGTGTGATGATGCGGTAATTAAAATGCATGTGGTATAGTATTATCATTCACCACACTTCAAATTCTACAGTCCTGTATTACATGTATTGGGTATTTGAAATCGACGCATTTGTCTTCTCAGTGTCACTGAAGAGCAAGATAGGGTGGTCTCTTTGGAGTATCTTTGCTTGAAAAAACTAAACTAGAATTTTGTCCTAAAATTCCATTTCATGCCTTGTTCCACAAGAAAATTATTCCAGTCATGGTTTAGGTTTCTGGCGATGTTTAAATTTCAGTCCCCAAATTCTGGCCTACCGAGTCAACTGACTCGGTGGACTCATAGCTTGTTACGGGCCTGCAGATGATGGTCAAAATCAGAAATGTTAACAACTTAACACTGTTTTCTCACTTTGATACATAATTGCTGGTTGACCACCTACTGCAGGTAGTTCTTAGGGACCTCAATGGGGGGGGGGGCAAATTGCCGACTAGAGGGACCAGTAAGAGGGCTGGGGGGGGGACATGTCCTCCCCAGTCTATATGTTAAAAGAGGCCCTGAATTAAATACAGAAAGGTCTTTCTTCGCATGGAACGTCCCATGCATACTGCATTATGCAGTGTCTTTCTCATAATTAGAGACCTTTAGTTTGACATTTACAGCTAACACCAAACTGCTAACAATGATTGTGATTTAATTAGGACTCTTGTAGAAATTACACTAATTTTGTTATGTAATAAACATCCTACACAAAGCTCATGACATTTAGCAATAATGATTATCAGAAAATTAGTTAGCCACTACTAACATATTATTTCAGAACCATCCTCAGGGATACGAAAAACTAGTTTCATATTAATCTAGATAAATATGAAACTAATGTATTAGCCAAGGTAAATTCAGCTTTTAAGTTTGAGGTTAATGTTTGCGGTATAAATTTTACACATGGATCCTGATACGTTTTATTTCTATTTTCATAATATGAATTTTAATACACATGCCCTTAAAAAAATTTCTGCATATTTTTACATGGCCCACCCTTATGATTGCACGTAACTTTCAATGACCCACCCTTCAACCGTGCTCAAAAATAGTGACCCACCCCCTATTTTTCCCAGCCCACCCCCCCCTTTTACTTTATGACCAGTCCCTAAGAACTTTCCTAGCTAGCATGGTCTGTTCCTTACTCGGCTTCTGATATATAGCTTGATTATTAAACAACGTTTCAAATATAAATACCCCACATGGTATGAATTTAGTAAGCTTGAATATACAGAAATTTTTTATAATTTATAAGGAGAAATTGGTGGAGTATTCTGCTTTTAACCCCCAATATTTTAAAGTTTGTTTGTCTTGTGTAAAGGGTCACTGTAATTGGTGAAAGCTGTAGCGTATGCCCAGCCATGTCAATGTATGTATCGTTTATGTTAATGTATGTATAGCAAGTGATTTTAAGTTGATTTGGCAAAGCCTAATAAATAACTAAATAAAAAAAAAATTTTAGCAACACGTTTGAAGTGTGCCCTGTTCTTTCCCTTTTTCAACAGAATATTGAAAAAGTCTAGTGGCACAAGTACTGTGCAAACAGTGCAAAGTCTTATGAGGTAGACCTGCCTTTGCACATAACCTTTCCAGCAAAATACTGTTGAGTGTTGTTTAAGCCAACTGCACTTTTTTCATATCCAAAGCTTCCATCTCTATTCGGTATTAATAAAATGCATCTGCCATGACAGCGCCTTCCCTGGCCTTATCAATATACAAACAATACAATGATTGGAAGCACAAATTGTGAATTTCATTTGGTTCATGGCAAAAATGTTTTATATATCGTGCTTGTTTTTTTTAAGTCTTTCAAACCACCATGAAATGTTTTTGACAAGCTCTTGCCGGCCATGGCTGTTATGAATCGTGATAATAGTTATGATTTCCTTTATTTAACGCAACACAATAATTGTTCAACTAACTAAAAACTAGATTACATAAATATTTAAAGCAAAAATTCATGTGATCAATCAATGTTGATAGCTACTTGAGTTCATGCAATTATAAATGTCAATCTACTTATCTAATCAATCCAGATGTCTCTAAAATAGAAATTCCTTTAAATGTATAGAAATTCCTTTAAATGTATCTTACCACAGTATCTGACACTGCCCGAGGTTTCTTCATTATTTTTGATGAGAAACTAAATTAATTCTATTTAAAACACTAAGCCACTATATTTAATCGTAATCTCTTGATTTTTGTCTATATAAATGCATATATTATTAGTTCTGCATGTTCTATATTCTGTTATATGTCCAAGTCTGAACTGGGTTCGAGTTGACTTCAATAGGTATTAATTGTTGAATTGTCTGTCTCAACAGTGTTGGTCGGGTTTTACTTCCAGCAACCTTTACAATTGCCGCTCTAACCTTACTGTCTCTACCAGTTAACAGCTCCTCTACTTTACCGAGTTTCCAAAAAGATCTGTTCATTGAATCATTCTTTAAAATGACTACATCGCCTTTCGAGATATTTGTTACCTTTCCTGCTGTTGTCTTTGGATTGAATGTTCTCGCAGTTCTGTGAGATACTCAGTTCTCCATCGCTTCATTAAACTTTGCAACAATAATTTCTGATGACGTCCATGCTTTGTTAGGGTCTGGTAAGTACTCAAAATTTTGTGATGGTTCAAATTTGGATTTGCTATAATTCTTCGTCTGTAAATAAGATCAGAAGGGGTCAAGGCAAACGAACTAGACTCTTGGTTGTCATACATGTATGTAATTGGTCTTGTGTTAATCACACCTTCGATTTCTACCAAAATGGTATGCAACTGTTCGAAATTCAACGTAGATCTCCCCAGTATTTTCTTGAGTGGTCTTTCATGCTACGGACAAGATGCTCCCAGTAACCACCCCACCAAGGGGCTTTCTCTACTATAAAACTCCACATAATTGTTCGGTTCACTAGATAAGCCCAAACTTCTTCTGCCCGAGTAATCTTGCATATATCATTACATGCCGATTTAAATGTTTTTGCATTGTCTGAATTCAATGTCGCTGGCAGACCTCTACGACTCTCAAATCGTCTAAATGCTAATAAAAACGCTTCGGTACTTAATCTGTGAGTAAGTTCTAAATGTACCGCTCTCGTAGCTGCACATGTGACCAATAAGAAATAAACCTTTAATGTTCTATTACCCTTTGATAGCTCATCTAGAACATACAAAGGACCTGTGAAATCAAGCCCGACATGAGTAAATGGCTGTTCTTTGGACACCCTTCCACTCGGAAGATCAGCAAATGAAACACTATTGCAAGGAAGTCCTTCCAACTTATGACATACTCTACAACTTTGAATAAATTTCTTAACAGATTTGCGATGACGAATTATCCAAAATCTTTCTCGCAAGTTCGTAAGGGTATCCTTAATTCCATTGTGTTTAACCAAACGATGTGATTGTTCAATAATCAAATGAACAAATTTGTCTTTAGAGGGCAACAGGCTAGGATTTCTCGCATTTTCTGGCAATGAAGCATTGTTAATTCTACCTTTACAACAGATGACTTCACTTTCGTCAAAATAGAGTCCAAATCGTGTGACATAAATTGGAGGTCTAAGAGTTTTAAAGTTTAAACTTTAATGCATCTGTCGGACTTCTTGGACCATAAGTCTATTAAATTGTCAATGTCCAACTTCTTGACCAAGTCCTTATTTAAGGTAATACAGAGCAGGTCTCCAAGCCTGGAAGCCATGATTCTTGATCTGATCTTGTTGCAGACTCTATTCATTGCTGAAAAAGCTTGCTCAACTTAGGTTGCCATGGTGGAGGTTGCCATGGTTGCCACTACCAGTTTCATAAGATTTTGGCACCGACTTTCAGAAATAGGAACCCCGAGCAGGAAATCTTCCTTGGCTCTTACCAGCTCCAGTTTGAGATTCGACTGGTTAATTTCTAGGCAGTGAAAATAATCAACAAGATACATGAGAACCCCTTTATCAAGATAACACTCCTTAGAGGCATCCAGGGCTTCGAAACTATTCATCACTTCGAAATTCTTGGCATCAAACCTTACGTTGAACTCTTCATCTATTTTTTCTTTCATGTAAGTGTTCATCTCACTGATGCTGCTTTCAAGGTTTGAGTTCGATTGCTGTCTTGTTCCATACCTTGTTCTAACAATGGCAAAGCAGTCTAAGTTCACATCCATAGGTATGCCTATTGACTCCAAGAACTTCTCGGTATCTTTTAAAAGCTGGTCAACAGTGATTGCATCCAATGAAGCACGGATTCTTGTCAGCTCATGCTGAACATCTGTCCAATTAATAGATTCAGTTTGAAGTTCTTTCGAAAGGAAATACAGTTCAGCTAGATACGCCCTCAGTATAATCAGACCTATGACAACTTTTGTGGTGATCAGTTTGTGGTAGAAACCTGCAGCTCGTTCGACATGTTTTGGGTCATGGACTTTATCTCGATTCATTGCTACTCTTACAAGGGTTTCCAAAAAAACCTCAGATTTGTCTACGAGAAGGTCCACTGCCTCAAACTTGCATCCCCATCGAATTTCTATTTGTTGATGCAGATATCTGATCTGGCTTCTTGGGTATAGTTCATGATACACGGTCTTGTAGAGTGACCTGATTTTGGGGATGTTGAAGAATGAGTACAGTGAGTTAATCATTGTTATTATGTCTAGAGCCAGTGGAGACCCTTTAATGATGTCATTTACCACAAGATTGAAGCGATGTGCAATGCAACGGATATAAATCTGCCACGGAAAGTGTTCTGAGTGTAAAAGCTAAGCAACCCCAGCATATTCACCTGACATCACACTTGCACCATCAGCCCAAAGTGAAATTACAGCTGCTCCAGATCTTTCAATTATCAAGTCAATGACCTCTTTGGTGAATGTCACAATAGATTGTGCACCAAAGTTTTCTAGCAGTCGTCTCAGATCGTAGAAGCGCTCAACAACCTTCCCAACATCGTAGCGAACTGCTGTTGCAAGTTCCTCGCGCTTTGCAGTATCCTTACTCTCATCAATCAAAGCTGAAAAAAGCCCACTTCCACTATTCTTAATCTGGCTACAGATAACCAATCTAACACTATCAGCGATGATTTCAATGAATTCGTTTATACTAGTCTTACTAGTATAATCCATAGCAGTGCGATTACTCATGAACTTCTGGTGGAGTTTCAGAAATGCAGGGTTGGTTTGGTTTCAAGCTGCAGTTTGATAAAGTCTGATCCATTTCCCAGGATTCTTAGATTCCTCAGTTTCATCACCACCTCTCATGGGAACCTCGTTTGTTGTAAACCAGATGACATACTTAAATAAACTGCCGAGATATTCCCGGTTTCCTCTGGCTACCTCTTCACGGTCAGGGTTTATTCTGCTCCTGATGTCTTTTTCTTTACCTGCCTCTATTTTCTTTAAATCAGACCATTTATCACAACAATTCTTGTGTGTTTCGGAATGTTCGTGTTTAGACAGACCTTTATTTGCATCAAGAGCGTTCACCCAGTTCTTGTAACCCGTCTCAGTAAATGTCAAAGCACTTGTAGCCACTGCAGAGGTATTTACTGAAAATTTCCGACAAGGATAACAAAATGCAGCATCTCCCTCAAGACTATTCTCTAACCAGTCGAAGTGGCTGTACCAAGATGCTTGAAAGGATTTTGTTTTCTTTGATTTGGGATCTCGCACAGCAAACTTATGTAGCCGTGGTTGTCTTGGACCATCTTGAGTTTCTAAAGTGATTTTTTGAGCTGAATTTGCTGAAATAAAGTGAAGGGGAACATGTAATTAAGCTGTGAAAGAGAGATAAAACTGAACTTTTTCAGAAACTAAGAATCATAGATTATTTAGAATTGATTTCTCGGTCACTAACTTGAGGAACTACCAGTCTCTGAATCAGTTGCTACTTCAAGTTCACTGTCATTGAGAGGAGGTAATGCCGGTGTTGTTGCTGTGCAGCCCAAAGGTTCGGCAAACGCTGAAGCTTCTATTCCTGGCATTATTTGTAGATCTAAATTAAGCGGATGTTCACCGTTAAATTTTGTATGGAAAACTACTGCCATCAATGATTAAAAAATTAAAATACTGCATGATAGTCGTGGTGCAACCTTTAACAATACAAGTATTTGCAAAACTTGCCTCCACTTTCGGCGTCAGATGAATACTGTTCAACCTGAGCAGCGCCGACGATTTGAATTGCACTCTCTTGATGTGTCATTGTAGTAGTGGAACTATTGAGATTGCCTGCCAGCTGATTCTGAAAAAGCCATTTCAGAATTCTGATTAGTTTTACAGTTTTATTAATGATAATTGATAAATCGCGACTTTTATCATATTTTGAAACTGTTCTGACCACTTTACTCATGCATGGCCGGTTAAAAAAGTTTTAGTTAAAAATATTTTTATCATAGAGTTTAAAAGCAAAAGAAAAATAGCAAAAACACTATGGTACAATGAATGTATTATGTAAGCTTAGTAGCTTACTGCACTGCTCTTATGATTTTAACATGCAGTTCAAGCTCTTTGAAATTTGAATTACTACTTACCTCTGCCTCTGGATCTTCTCTCGTTTTTTTTTACTAGGAAGGCTTCCATTGATCGTTGGTTTTTCCGTTTCTTATCGGCCATTTTTTAGTTTTTACTGCACTTACGGTAAATGCAGTTACAAGCTAATTTGACGCAAGTTTAGACGGCCATTTAGTTCTCAGATTAAACTTTTTATATTCTGCTATCCGGGTGCTAAATGCATGTAGAAAGTAAGCAGCAAGAACGCCAAGCGAAGACTGTCTGAACTATTCACTATTCACTTTTACAATAACTACTTTGTGAATAAGTGGAAAAGCAATTAAGATTAGTGTCACTACACCTTATATGGTGATAATTAGGTTGTTATTGTACAAACAACAGTGTAGCAACGTCAATCAACCTAGAAAGTAGAAACGTCATCACGCAACCATTGCCATGAACGTGATAATTTAATATTCGCATTAAACAGTCTTCCCGAATGGGCCGTAAAGATTAAATCTAGGCAAGTCTATTCCCTAAAAGAATTAAAAACTAAAAATAATGTTCGTAAAAATTCCAAACGTTGGAATTTGCAGTTGCATGCAAGCTATTCGCATGACAAGGCACTGCAAACTCTATTCAGGGGAGATAATAGAGTTTCAGAACTTTACAATTGCTCCAATAAACCAGTGAATGCAAATGAGAAGCGATTAGTTTCAAAGTGTTGCACTGTCTTTTTCTGTTCGAGTGTACTCCTACGTTTATTTTGTATCATCACACTCTGCATGTTGGAGTGGACTATTTAATTATTTATTTATTATGCCGAATATTGGGGGGGGGGGGGG